TCTAAAACTCTCTGAAGCACCAACTCAGGAGTTACACCCTCTTCTTTATGTGTAGTCAATGAAAAATATTCATTTTGACTCAGCTTGTAGGTATTTACAGAATTTTTTCCCACGTCTGCATCGTGTGCTTGATGCAGAGGAAATTTCATTCCTGCCGCTGTGTTCTCAGAAATGTCGATTTCTTGTGACGTGCTTTCAAATGAAGGTGAATTATCATTCACATCTAAAATAATAATTTCAACACGATACAGTTTCAGAGGGTTATTAATAACAGCTTCTACACTGAGTGAGCATTTGGGCTCATCACCGCAAAGCTCCTCTCGATCTATTCTCTCGTTAACATAGAGGGCTCCAGTTTTTAGATTTACCTCGAAATATTTCCTCTTTGATCCAGCAACGATCTGAAACATGCGGGGCCCCAAATCCTGGACATTGATGTTCAGATCTTTCGCGACATTTCCGACAACAGTCCCCAGATTCACCTCCTCTGAGACGGGGTAAGAGAGCTGCCCAGAAACCGTTTCAGAGTAACAATCCAGCAGCACGAAGACGAGATATATCCACACACAGCTCGATCTGCCGGATCCAGTCATAATTACATTCAACAAGAAAAGGTGTAAAATAGTCACGGCGTTTATCATGAAACAGTCAAACCTCAGAAAAAACCAAAGGCGCCCACGTTTATTCTGGCATATTTCCTATAAACATAATCAGTGTTCATTCCCGTTCTCGTTCGCCCTCTAAATCTCTTTGTCTGAATCGCCTGAGAGACATCATCATCCTCTGAATCTGGGAGGAGCACCGAGACCCTACAGAGAGAATTTAAATGTGATGGTCTACAATGTCCCCGTGTGGACAATCGGAAGGACTGCACTCAACTTCCAACATGTCATTACACTTCAGTTCTACAGCAGTTTAGATGCCAGTCCTACTGCTTTTACGCTGAAACATTCACCACATTCACCAACATTGTGACCGCATGTCATTCCACTCATTTTTCAGGAAGGTCTTTTCACACTAAAGCTAACTAAAGAAAACTGCTGAGCGATTTTCCTGCACTAAAGAGCTTTGAAATTCGAAGACAATTTCCGACACACAAAAAATCGATAAACGTTTTTGGTTTTTTTTTTTGGTTTTTCAGGGTTCATCGGATCATTCTTTTTTCACGTCTATGGAGTCCTATCACAGACAAAGTCCAGGGATACTGAATATAAAAATTGCGATTTAATCTGAAAATACTCTACATGAATGCAAAAAAGCACATCTGCCTCATTATTTGCTGATTGAAAAATTCATCAATTAACATGTATTCCACACGTTTCTGGGAGTAACATGCATGATTTCTCGATGCTCCTTACCGTTCTCAGTTAGAACGTCACTCTGGCTACACAAAAAAATTTTAAATTTAAATTTAAATTGGATTTAAAAATCCAATGTAAGACATTAAAAGCAGCGTTTTATTCTACTGTGCTACGTTGAAGACTACCGTGTTCCAAACCCCACAAGACAGTTGGATGCACCAAATCCCGAAGTGTTCTGAAATTTGCAAGGAAAAAAATATGATCCAGCATGCACCACTAATTTAGATGGGAAAAGCATCACAAGAAACCAGAGCTAGTTACAGTTTATTCCAAGGTACTACACTCGTAGTATTTCTGTATTTAAGTCAAATTGCAGTTTTTTTTCCCTACTTGGGCAGGATAGACCAAAAATTAGATAGCTTAAGAAAACTTTATCCATTGACCGTTAATTTACACCCATCACACAAGATGCGCAATTAGAAATACTTAATTCATCCATATGCTTACCTTTTCTTTGTTAGGTAAAGTCTGAGTCCTGGTAAAAGTGTCTCCTTCGTTAATACTGATCAGTTCTGCATCTACAGGTGGAAACGGGGCGGGGAAGACCACTACGTCACTCTTGAG